TCATGAATTAAATAATTTAATTATTAAGTACTTAAATTAATAGGATTCTTATTTGTATAGCAACAATAATAATACATAAGTTCAGTCTTATAAAATTATTATAAAATGTCAATAATGAAAAATTGGGAAATGATTTCATGATAATAATGATAATTTTAATACTCTTAATTTAAATTAATGTTGATGACGTCATCAATTTTTTTACCATTATACGACGAGTGTTATATCCGTTTGTTGTTCAATTTTTTTAACATTTTCCAAATTGTTTCTTTTTTTTTCTAATTTTTTTTCAACGCAACAATGTCTTTTCCTACACACTTCCGTCATGCATTGCATCAAACATGGCATGTTTAAATTTTGTCGTAGGGTATCGATACCATCGATATTTTTTTGAGGAGCCGGCATAAATTCGGGTTGAATAATTATTTGCGTTATACCCTGTTCGGTGAAATATTTCGTCAAAGCTTTATTATTCCGCAGATAGTCCTGAAATTAACGGAGGGAGGGGAGAGGTTTCCTCTAATAAATTTAAATTTATTTCGTAATGATACGTCAAAAAAATTCAAATTAAATACTCACGACGGGATCGGCAAAAATTATGTGTGCCGTGGAAAAAACTTTATCGGCTGTGAGTTGCCAAACGTGAAAATCGTGAACGTTTATTATATCCGGAAAAGCTTCGAGAAGTTGATAACGTAACGAATCGATATTAATATCGTCTGGTATTGTTTGAAGAAGTATAAAACCTGATTCCTTCACTGAAAATGATCAAAAAACTATTTTAAAAAAAAAAAATTTTAAGCAAAAAAAAAAAATTTAACTCACTGTATGGGTAACTTAATAATAATAATATCGATGCCGATATCAATGATATGATTGGATCTAAAAATTTTGTAAATTCATGACCGGATGTTAAATAAACAACCAAACCGCAAATAATGACAAAAATACAACCTGAAAAGAAAAAAAAAGAAAAATTATTAAATAACAAAAAAAATTTAATAAAAAAATTGTTTTGTTTTAGTTATCAGGTGTATATACCGATGATATCTCTTATCATTTCTTTACTCCCTTGACGTTTTGATGGAGTATAAGATGGAGGAGGTGTCGGAGTTTTTCTTGACTGTGAAGATAATCGCCTTTGACCTTTACTTAACGAATCAATTGTCACTGATCTTTCAAGGATAACTTCACCGTTTTCGGTCACGTGTAAATAACTACCTTGATGAAAAGTATATCCTGTAAATAATAATAATGATAATAAAATTAATATAGAACCAATTAAAAAAAAAAAAAAAAAAAAAATGTATGAAATGTTGGGTGATTTTTACCTCCTATTAAAAAATAACAAAAACCGTTAAGTAATAAACCGACGGCGCCAACCATTAATATAACCAATGGAAAATGCATTTCATCCTGATCTTCAATATGGACGAGTGTTTGTATGGCTTCGACGAAAACGCTAAAACATAATGATGCTAAAAATATGCATCCTATGAGCATAACCAATATGTCGATCCTTGCCCAACCGAACGTATTTTTCAACGAGGTTTCACTTTCCCGAACGGTTTTTTCAACCTGGAAAAAATATAAAAAATTTATTAGCAGAAGAATTTTTTTTATTTAATTAATTTAATTGTTTGTGTTCTTCATATACATATGAAGTACCTGTTGACTATTTTTTAAATTTTCATTGTCGACCCTTTGAACTTTGACATCGGGTATTTTGTTTTTTACCCCTTCGTGTTGTTTTAATGTTGATTTCTGAAAACAAAAAATAATAATAATAATATTAATAAAAAGTATGAAATTTAATAAACGGAGTAAAAAAAATCCGGAAGTGTTTTATTTTGTCCAGGAAATTTTTTTTTTTTTTTTCGAAATTTATTACGCTTTCTTTTCATTATTATTATTATTATTATTTTATTGATTTTTTTTTTCATTTTTCACTCTCGATTAATTTTATAAAAAAAAAAAAAAAAAAAAAAATTAAAAATTTTAATAACGTTTTATTATAAAACTTTCACTTGTTGCTTTGTTTTAAATGGATTTTTTTTTGGCAAAAACCCCCCGACGAAAATATTTTGTTTCAATAATAATAATAATAATAATAATAATTGTTTTTAAAGGTACGAAAAAAATGTTATTTGTTTGAAAGGATTCTGCTGCGTAGGTTCGATGAATATTTTCCTTGCACGAATAAAAAGGAAAAAAAAATTTGCATAATTCTTTTATGTATATGATAAAACATTAAATCCAGACAAATATTCTTAACATGTACGCGAGAAAACAGGTATAAGGAGGACAGTTGCATGGATAAGTGGGTTGTTGTAGGTCAAACGTACCTAAAATATCAAATTAAAAAATATCGAATTAGTACGCGACCTATCCCATTAAAAAAAATTTTTTTTTTTAATGAAAATACGAGAAGAAAAATTATTATTATATTTTTTACATAGAAAATAATAATAATAATAATAATAATAATAATAATAATTGCATGGTTTGACATTGAGTGAAAGTCACTTCGTAAAAGAAAAAAGAAAAAAGAAAAAGAATAAAAAAACATGAAAACAATTTTTATAATTTAATAACCTATTATCAAATTTACTTTAATAATTCTTATTATTATTATTATTATCAAACGACACGCAATCATTAAATTGTTTTTTTTAAAAAAATTATTATTATTATTATTAAAATTTTTATTCGTTTATAATTTTGTAAATAATACACAACACGTCATTATGTTTTTTTTTTTTTTTTTTTTTTTTATTTAACTGTCGGGTAATTGTCGATTATTTAAATTTATGTATGTATTATTAACCTTTTTTTTTTTTTTTAAATATTGTTTAAACAAATTTGTTTACGTAATGACGTAATATTAACAATAACAATATCATTTTATTTAAAAAAAAGGACAACAACAAAAACTTTTTTACGGTCGAATGATTTTTTTTTTTTGACGTCTCCCCCGGAAAATTTAAGAAGTGGAAAATTCGAACGAAAAAATCAATAAATAAATAAATAAAAAAATTTGAAATTTATTGATTATTTATTTTTTTGGGCATATTACGTAATAAATAATATTAATTATAATTATTTAAATGAAAATTTTAAATGGTAAAGTGTCAATAGTAATTGTGAGATTTAGTCGTGGAATTAGAACGTTTCCTTACGGAACTCTTAAATGAATCATCCTTTTTAGTATAAAAAAAAAATTTCCTCAACACAAATCCAAAATCCTTATTTATTTATTTTATGTACATAAATATAATTTTTAATCGGGAGTTATGGAGTGAAAATAATTCAAATTCAATCCAAAAAAAAATTTGAGCGTAAAATAATAATAATAATAATAATAAATTCAATACACTTAAGAGATCATATTTTATTAAATGGATGATTAGACTCCATTTTGTTATTTGATAACAGATAATAATATTAAGATATAATAATAATAATAAATTTAAAAATAGAAACTTCTCGAACGATCAA